ATCCTTAATTATTTTAAAATTAAATTTGAAATCCGTGGATCAGCAGCTTTTGAACAGACATCAACATGTACCAGGCTGATAAAACGTATCAATCTCTACTCTTTCATAATGCAGAACATAAAAGGCCTGTCATCTTGTGCCAGGTAGCTACTGTGACAATAGCTTGTCTAGAAACTCACTTGCATCAGTAAAATCTTTTGCATACACATTTAAGTCTTCTAGATATGTTAGTGTGGTATGAGCCAACTTGGAGTTGTAAATATACTTCAATCACCTCAATATAACTTCCCCTCTCACAAAAGAGGGAGCAGGTGTCATGCATTTCCTAAATTCATATTGATTTCAGCCACTCAGAAGTTGAGGGGATTGGAGACAGTTTGAGCCTTAAGTGTATTTTTTTAAAGGTGATTTTTGTCAAGCTTGGGGGAGAGAGATAGGTAGGCAAGGGAGTCATAACTCAGGAATTACATGGTTCTATGACACCCAGTTTGGACTATTAATCCTAAATTATTCCTACAGGCCAGTTTGAGTTAGCACGTAGAGTTAGGAGCACCGGTGACTTAATCTAAACTGTAGCAGAATTGCTGTTTTGCCACAGTATTGATATATGGCTTTATCTGTAGCTTCAGGTCTCAGAACCATGCAAATGACAGTCTCAAAATGCTGTTTCCTGTATTTTTTTGGCTTGTCCTAGATTAGTGTTTCTCAAGGGTGCTGCAAGATCTTTGAAGGGTGTCATACAAAATTAGCACTGTTAAGTGGGCAAACACCTACAAATGGTCCACAAGATAAACCCAGGGATTTCAAATAGGAGTCCATAATGTCAACAATATTATGACCTGTTGTGGCTATTTGCAACAGATAAAATTCTCTGTAGGCAAAAAAGGAGGGAAAGCTAAGAGCTAGCACTTCCCAAGGGGTGCCTTAAGTCTAAAAAGGTTGAGAGCCATTGTCCTAGATTGCCTTTGTGTAGAATGGAAAAAGAGCAATGTAAAATCAGGGAAAATTAGTCACTGGTAATGTTAGCCTTTAAAATCTAAGTGTGCTCTGTGACTAGTAGAATAATAGTTCATTAAGTTTTGTTTCTATCTCCATTTCCTTTAAATTTGGAAGTCAGGAGTATGCCAAAAAACAGCCAGATTCTTCCATGATACTTATTTTGTCAAAGGGACTGATCACTGGTGTTATTTATGAATATTCTAGATTATCTTGCTGGGATTATAACATTTGGTTTTAAGATCTCATTGGAATATAGCTATAGTCTGTAATACAGGGGTGGGCAAAATATAGCCCGTAAGCTGGATCTGGCTCATGACTGCCTGCCAACTGAACCTTGCCCAGCCCTTCTGCCCACGGGGGTGGGAGTGAGGTGTCCATGTATACATTCCCCTGCCCCAACATACCCTATTGTGCCTCACTCCCACCCTTGTGGGTGAAAGGGCCTGGCTGGGCCAGCAGCAGTTTTTGGGTGGAGCTGCTGCTGCCACTGCTGCAGCTGCTGGGGGACCTGCTTGGCTTCCCCAGCATCCCACTTGTTCTGGGCAGCAGGTAGGGAAGTGGTGGAGGTGGGAGGGGAGCTGCAGTTGAGCAGGAGCATGGGTCTGGGGCTGGTGGCAGCATGGAGCCTGTGCCCAGGGGGGTGGCAGGAGTGCAGAGTTAATGCTGGCAGTATGTGGGTAGCGGGGATTGTGGGGGAGAGTGTGGGGACCCCCTACACTTTCCCCTTATGGCACACACAGCTCCTACTGGCAGCAGCAGGAGCACCAGCAGGCTGTGGGTGCTTGTGTCCAGCACAGGCACTGCTGCCCAGCGGCACATAGCTCTGGCCACTGCCGCATGCAAGGGTATGGAGCACAGCCTGGCCAAGCTGCCTGTTGCATAGTGCTCCCTACATGCATGTGCAGCTCCTGCACTCACCTGGCATGGGAGGAAAGCTCCATGTGCTAGAGCCCACTGCCTTCCCCACCCCCTGCCATGCAGGTCCCAAGATTCCACGGGAAAGCAGGAGCTCCCCTCCACTTCCAGCGGAGTCCTGGGACCTGTGTGGCAGGGTGCAGGGAAGGCAGACAGTTCCAGCGCTTGGAGCTTCCCTCCCATGCTGTGTGAGTGCCGGGGGCTGCACATGCACATGGGGAGCCCCCATGATAGAGGCAGCCTGGCCAGGCTGAGCTCCTCACCCCCACGTGCAGCACTAGCTGGAGCTGCATGCCACTGGGTGGCAGCACCCACACCGGGCACAAGCACCCACTGCCTGCTGGTGCTCCTGCTGCTGTCAGTGGGGGCTGTGTGCACCATGGGGGGAGGGTGCGCGGGAGCCCCATAACCCCCCCAAATATACACCCCCAACATACCCTATTTCCCCCCACACCCTCCCATACACATACACAGCCCCACACCCCACAGCCCCCATGCACAATACATAAGACTAAGACTTTATTTTTAAATTATTATGCAATCATCTCTACATACACTATGTAAACACAAATCATGACAAAGCAAGAGGAGACTGGACAAGCACCTAGCTGGGGTCGTCTGACCCCAGTGTTCTTTTCTGCCCAGGACAGGGGGTCAGACTCAATGACCCACTGAGGTCCCTTCCGACCCTAATCTCTATGAATCGATGACAAAAATATTTTTTGTAATAACGTTAAATTATGTTATAGTAGGTGTATGATTTTTAGTGTACGATTTGAGTTTTTTTCCAGTTCCAAGGCAGCAACTCTCCCCTCCCAAAAGGAGTATTTCTGGCAGGGCAAGGGGAGGGACTTCTGGCAGCAAAGGTCAGTGGTTAGGGGTGGGACTTCTGGTCTCAAGATGGCAACCAGGGGGTGGGGCACCTGTCAAGGGGCAGGGCTACCCATGCAAACCTCCACAGCTCACCAAAACTGGTTAAGCAGCCCTACAGCTGAAATAATTTCCCGCTCCTGCTCTAATACAGTTTAAATGATTCTGAAATGGGTTCTACGTTGTTAATTCATATTGTTGTTGCTTTACTGTTTATATTATTTGAAGATAAGATATAATTTAATATTTAAATGATACAAACTGAGAGTAAAAGCAGATAAACTTGCTCTACTTCAAGCAATATTTAGAAGAAAACATTCAAAGAGCACTGAGAAAAAAGTGCTGAACAGACACCAAATGCGATTCTGGATAACAGTTTAGAAATCTCACATTACATCTATGCCATTTTTGATACCCTTCCAGTATATGTGCTGTAACTCTAGAATTGTTATTATATTTACATTTTATATTATACATAATATCTAATTCTGCCTTTCCACAAGGGGGAGATCTTCAACTTTCAAGGTAAGTTTAAACCTAATACTTGTCTGTTTGAGGGAACTGTTCTGTAGTGGCGGATTACTGGACTAGAAGTGATAAGCATCCTGTCTGTAAAGGCAGACGAGGTTCTTTGGGTAAATCTGATACCTTTTATTAGACCAACTAAATAATTGGAAAAAAGATTCTTAGCAAGCTTTTGGGTTTAAAAACTCCTTGTCAGGCTGAGAGAGCATCTGCAGTTGGTTCCTCAGCCTGATGAAGGGTTTTTAAACCTGAAAGCTTGCTAAGAACAATTTTTCCAACTATTTAGTTGGTCTAATAAATGATATCAGATTTACCCAAAGATCCTTGTCTGCCTATGTCCTTATATCAATACGGCTACAGCCTACACTCTTGTCTATAAAATATTTTACTTTGTGTTTTAGCAGGGAGGATTATATACAATACATGCAGAGTTGGAGGGAAAAAAGTGATAGTTCGCCAAGGATAGCTCTGTTCTCAAATCAAGTTCTGCCTGGTCTTGACACTGAAACTGTACATTATGCAGATCCTCACATTTTGCCCATTTTGTGTGCTTTATTTAACAATTAAATAGTTATCTAGGTGGATTAATTTAAATTATTTAATATCCCATTAACATGAATGGGAGGATTTCACACTAGACACTTGCATTGTCTGCAAAATCAGTGCACATTATTGCCTGAAGTACTTTTAGGGTTACTTCTTGAAAGTTATTGTTGTAACTAAGCTCTCCCACCACCCCTTTTTGAAAGTAAAAATCTCTGAAGCAGGAGCCCCACCAGACAAAAGCAGCTGCTGGTGTAAGTCATGTCACACTGGACCTCTGTGACAGCTCTTCCCAAGACGTTTGGGAAATTTAAGCATGAGTTATTCAGTGCTGGTTGGAGGAGTGGCCTTCCTACATGGCAGGATCAGAGGACATGCTGAAAAGTGGGAAGTCAAAGTCTGTCATCCAGCCTGAGACGTTTGCAGAGCAGTTCTGTTTTGGATGCTTCTCTCCTCTCTTGAATCTTGCCAGTGTTGTCTACAGAGCAATTCAAATTCCTTTTTTCCTTTGTGCGTTTCAGAGGACAGCCCCTTCCCCAGGGGGCCCGGGCCCCATCACTCAGCACCTCTGGTCGTGGGGCGGGAGGTGTTAGGGGGTGGGGGTACGTATGTCAGGGTGTGTGTGTGTGTATGTAAGGGGTGTGGGGGGTAAGGGGTGTGTGGAAGGTGTGGGGGTGCAAGGAGTATGTGTGTAAGGGGTGTGGAGGTGTATAAAGGGGTGTGTAACGGGTAAGTGTATGCGTAAGGGGTGTGTGTAAGGAGAGTAGAGGTGTGTAAGGGTGTTGTGTGTGTAAGAGGGTTGTGAGGGGTGTAACGGGGGGGGTGTGTGTAAGGGGGGTGTGTAGCTTCCGCAGTGTGGCCACCGCAGCCCCGACGGCCGCCAGAGGGCGGTAGAGGCGGCGCGTTGCT